AACAAATACACAATGGGGTGTGTTCTGCCGTGCTAAGGAAAAACGCCGTATGAGCCTTCAGGCGTTGCCAAATTTCCTTGGGTAAATCACTAATTTTCAGGAGAATTTGTGAACATTTTTTCTCCAATTTCTCAGATACTTTTGTTTGTAATTTGATCTAAAGTGTCTGAAAATTGCAAGAAAAAAATATCCATAACTTTCCTCAAAAATAAGCACTTTATCGAAGGAAATTTGGCAACTCCCAAGTGTTCATACGGGGTTCTTCCTTAGCACGGCAGTGTTGCCCGTAAGTGACATAGCCTTGTGAATAGATTTGTTAGGAGTAAAATGGCATCGAAATTACGGTAGCCACGTCAAGAAAGTCTGAAATCCACCTCTAGGGCACAATTTGGGTAGTTTGGATGACGTTTTTCCCAAATACCCCGTGACTGGAAGCAGTTTTCAGTAACCGTCTCTATATGGAAACAATACACGGCAACTTGCAGCAACTACCGGGAACTTGCTAACGCAAAATGTCAATTGGACTTATTTCTACGAGACATAGCTACGTGCTGGTGGGAAAGATGGGTTGTGCTCTTGGCGAGGTGGATAACAAGCAATGTAAAAGTGGGCGTGATTCCTTTTGGTGAAATGAAAAAGCGGGACTTTAAATTCAGCGAACAGAACTATGTGCAAACTGTAAGCGGGTCTCATGAGCCGTGAGCATGTTGCAAGAGCGTTGTGGACACGGCTCATGAGTTGAAACGGAGGAAGTCCGACGACGAGGACGGTTCCTTTCCCGCTGACGTCACTGGCGCTTTATAATTGCCATGCATTCTTATCGCCCAAGATCTAATGAGCACACCCAGTCTTTCCAATCCGCTCACAGTTCTGTTTGGTAGATACACGTCAAATCACAAAGAAGGAAGTCAACAGCAAGGCCGGATTAAGGGGGTGGCCACATGGACCACGGCCCATGGCGGCAAATCTAGAGGGCGGCAAATTTTGCAATTTTTTTAAATGTAGGTATAAAAAAATATCGGATTTAGAAAAAAAAATTACAAACGAGAAAAGGCGACAAAATCCCTCATTTCCTGAGAGTATAGTAATTTTTAATTTTGTCGTCTTTCAGCGATACAATAGACAGCACCTTTAAGTAGTCGAATTAAGAGAGAAACCAAACACGCAATTTGGCCTGGAACGGCGCGGCACAGAGAACAATGATGAGAAGGACTTGAGATGAAAAGGAGAAGCCCTCGGCGCGGCGATCGGCATGTACCTAACACATTTTAGCGCCTACAAGACTGCACGAATACTTCACGCATTACATCAAACACAGTGCGGTCATTGCGGTCAGCGTGAAATGGATAGCGCCTACAAGAATGCATGAATACTTCACGCATTGCGCCAAACACGGTGCGGTCTGCGCGGCGCGGCGGCGGAAGTTAAAATCATTAAACGACATTCATGTTTGTTCTTTCATAAGTTTTTTGTTCATTTCTTATGAATGAAAGGCCTCGTCCACACAGAGATAGGTTTACGAAACTTAATTTTTGCTAGTAGTGTTGACAGGGCATTCCCAAAACCTGTGTTCAACACGAGTAAACGCGTCTTATGCACTCCTCCCCCGCTGGCACGTTCACTTGATGGTTTTTATTGATATTTTAATACGAATAAAAGAAGGAGGCGGCAATATACAGGCAGCCCATGGGCGGCAAGTAGGTAAATCCGATCCTGGTCAACAGAACCTAACGATCGACGGAATGCAACTCAAAGCATGGATCACTGTCAAAAATGACGCTTCGCTTTGTAAACAAAACAAATTAACAACAACGAATCGGCAACCATTGAGGCCACCTCCTGAAGTTGCCGTTCGCTCGATTCCGTTGACTAGAAAAATGCCCCCAGACGCGGGAAATTTGAAGAAGCTTCTTCGGAACTACGCAATTTGCGCACGAGGCAATGGATTTCAGACTTTCTTAGGAATTTTTTTTAGACATTGTGATTCTCTTGCAATTTTATCTCTTCAGTTCACTCACCTGCAAGTTCACTCACACGACTGTATACTTACGTGCCACAGACCCATTTAAGCTCATCGTATTTTCGCTGCGGTGGCCAAATCGTCGCTCCTGTGATCTAGGGACGTAACTTCAGTTTTACATGAGCCGTGGTAAACATGGAGTTATATGGAAGTTTTGGCCCATCTAAAAACATACTTGAGCCCTTGCTTCAGAGGAACGACGAAATGCGTCGAAATATCCTGCACAGTCGAAATCTCTCGTGTTTAAGGGGCTCATAAATTGATTTATGATTTATTAACGACAAAATCGTAATGAACAAACAGAATGGGCACTCAGCTCAGGATCTGACCTTGAGGCAATTTGCCATTGTTTACTTCGGAACCATCGAACATCGATGTATCGATATTTAGAATATTGCAAGTGCGACGCAGCAATTTAATCAGTCCGTGGTCCGCAATAAAACTGAGCACTGGGCAGGCAGGCCATTATGGCACCGAATTCAACTTCACCCGGGAAGAGGGGGGGGGGGAATATTTCAAGTCAGAATTTGGAAACGAAATTCTTCATTTTTGATTACTGAAGGGTTTGCTACGATGAGTGTGCAAACATAAAAAAGTAACATCATTCTTGTGAAAGTGACGTTAAAACTACGTTACTCTAGATCCCGTTTTCCGCGATTAGGCACGTTTACACATTCGTGTAGGTAGAATTTAACCACGCTTCGACAGACTTGCGTTTGGAAACTTCTAAAATCGTATAGCATGAACATTAACACTGTTTATTTTCCCTCATTCCATACATTTTCCAATGACTCCAAATATGCCTCTAACGGCGCATAACTTCGTGTCGGAAAACGCAAACCTTAATCAGTGCCTCAACCGTGCAAGACAAAGATTTTGGAATTACTTAGCGTGTAGTTCGAACTTCAACGTCAGCTGGATAGACGGACATTTTTTGTAAAGAGGGAGGGGGTCTACACTCAGCAATTTCTAATGGGATGGGGGTCCTAAGGTCAAATATTTTTAAAAATCGTGAATAATGAATTTTTTTTTGGGGGGGGGGAGGGGAGAAATGTTCCAGCTACGGGGCCTACCCTCCTCCTAACTTCATTACTGTTCAACTTGGGAAAACGGTGTGAAATTGTTCATGTTTTCCCCCTTATCTCCCTCCCTTCTTACCTCATACATTTTCTTTCTTTCTTTTTTTTTTTTTTGCACACTTATCCAATAAAACAACTTCCTAACCTAGCGTGGACAGTGAAATTCCCCATTTCAAAATTCTGGACTTTAAAAATGATTTTTGCCACCGAGAGTTGAATTTGGTTCCATACTACCGTGCCAAGGAAAAACGCCGTATGAACATTTGAGAGTTGCCAAACTTCCTCCGATAAAATATGTATTTCTGAGGAATATTATGCGTATTTTCCCTTGAAATTTTCAGATCGTGTAGATTAAACTGCGTCTAAAATCGTCCGAAAATTTGGAGGAAAAATATTTACATAATTTCCTATAAATTCGTATTTTACCTGAAGAAATTTGGCAACGCCTGAAGGTTGATACGACGTTTTTTTCTTAACACGGCAGTGTAGTGCGATTGATCGCGAGTGGCGACCGCGAGAGCACTGCTCGCGGAGCGCGCGGCTCGAGGAGGGCACGTCTGGCCAGATCCGGGTATTCCGGGTTACGACATCTCGACTCACCAGTCAGATTCGCCTCTACCACATAATTTCCATCGTACAGTCGGGGCTTGTGACGCTACGTTTACCATCTGACAACAGTGCATTGACGAGTTTATTCAAATTTGACCGCGTAGCCGTCCGACGGCAGCCGGCGTTGGCGTCCGAGTTCGGACGAAAACATTTGTATGATATACAGTGTGGTCCAAAAAATCCGCACCCTGATAACTTTTACCCCTGATTTAAGAGGAGCGTAACCGATGCACAAGGCACGTTTCGAGAAGATATGAAAAAAACTTGATTTTTTTGACAATTTTTCATATTTCTGTCCGAAAAATTGAATCAATGTCCTGCTTACCATCTGCAATTAGACCACTGCCACGCAAGCAGGGTTGGAAAAATTGGGCAAAAAATAAAAATTGCCGAAATTTTTGTAGATACGTCCTTGTTCCATAAGACCGAATGGATCTTATCAGTATTAAGACAGTCAAATAGCATGCCATTTTTAAATAGCAGTATTGAAAACCATAATTTGTGCCCTCACTCATGGTTTTCTCATGAAAAAGCACCCTGCAATGAAATACTAACCAAGATCACTGGAAAAAAAGACATCGGATCCAGAGTCCAGACTATTGAAAATATTGACAAGAAAAAATACTCTTGATTCAATCAGATTTAAGCTTAAATCAAAAGGATATCCGCTCAAATTGAGAGGCTTGGTTCTTGATTTAAGCAAAAATCCGATTGAATCAAGAGTATTTTTTCTTGTCGGTGTTTTTAAGAGTCTGGACTCTAGATCCAATGTGTTTTTTTTTTCCAGTGATGTTTAACATCGATGCTTAAATTCAAACATCCCGCTCATGAAAAAACAGAAGTCCACGGGAGGAAAATTGCGCTCTAATCGGTGCCAGAACAGTTTCTGTGGTATGAAAATATGACAAATTCAATTTCGGTGCTTCGGCTCAGCTTCTGCTCGTTGTTAACTCTTACAAATAAAACAACGTGGGGGAAGGAACATTACCTCTTGAGGAGCCAAATGAAACCGTTGTAGTTCGCGATTTTACTCAAGTAGCTCTTGATTTTCTTGTGAGCGGGAAATTCAACTTTTTTACAATAATGTTATTATCATGGTTGATAGTTGATTTCAGTAATTTTAGTTGTGCGAATTGTGAAATTTTGAAGTAGGAACATGTATCAGAATGTTTAAATTTGTATTTCGTTCAGTGGTTCAGGCTCATTGATGCTTAATCTAACCTATGGCATTTTTTTTTCTTTTTTACAGATAATCCTTGAAGTCAAAATGATGATCTTCGCAATTCTCTTACTTTTTGCGGCTGCAGTCAGGAGTCAAACCCAGTCATGCGAGGGGAGCTCCGATTGTATTTGTATACCACAACCAAGTTCGTACCAAGTGGCATGCCCGAAATCCCCCTACTCGGACTCGATGTTCACAGCAGACTATCAGCGGAACAACAGTTTTCAGATTCAGTGCAAAAATTCCGGTGATATTGATTTCAATTTGATGAAAGGCTTAAACATCGGCCCCATTAAATTTTTCGGACTGAAATTTTGTCCCTTGCCAAACATCACATTCAAAGAACTGATGGCATCCATGCAGATAACCCAGGCCTCGAAGATTGATTTTAAGTCTTACTCTGACTTGGATGATACCCTAAATCCTGACCTGTTTGAGGGTTTAGAAACAGTCACACAACTTTCTCTGAATAACAATGGCCTTACCAAATTGCCAGATAACCTATTCGACAGCATGCCTGGCCTTACATCCATTTCACTGTGGAATAATCGCTTGAAGACACTTCCTAGATTCATTTTCAGCCGAACACCTTATCTACAGGTTTTAGAGCTGGGACAAAATCAATTGATCAATCTAGAGCCAGGAGTGTTTAAGAATTTATCGCACATACGATTATTGAATTTATGGAGCAATCAGCTGATAAACTTGTCAAGAGCTGTCTTCGCCGATGTACCTAATTTAGAAAATCTAGATCTTGCTTCTAATGGTTTAAAAACTTTACCACCAGATATATTCGCCGACTTAACGAAGTTATCAGCTTTGAATCTAAACCACAACGAATTCACCCATCTACCATATGGATTATTTTACGGCACGCCATCCCTAGAAAGACTGCGACTGAATTTTAATAGAAAAACACTTAAAACTCTGCCAGATTTTTTTCTCGCTAATTTGACTCTCCTGAGTGAAGTAACCATGACTCAGTGTAATATTTCATCTATACCGCGTAATCTATTTTGGAACTCCAAGAACATCCTACATGTTTCCTTCGAGGGAAATCAGCTGAAACAACTCCCGGAAGATTTGTTCCGAGATTCCAAGGAACTGCTGACAGTCGATTTCAGTAAAAACAAAATAGAAAGCCTGCCGGATTTTCTTTTTGAATCGACCCCCAAGATAAAGGATATCAAACTTTCTCACAATAATCTACACACAATTTCAAGGTGAGTACTTGAGGCCATCACTGAATATTTTGCGCAATTTCTATTTTATTACGTAAAAGAATAATTCCAAAGAAAAAGAAATAGGTATGTACGAGTATTTTTTGTGATCCTTACAAATTCTTATGGACAATTTTTAAATTAACACGAATTATCATGGCCAAAAGTAGATGTCCTCTCATTTCTTGCACCGAAAAAGTTGTGTACACCAATGTGTATTTAAAAAGTTTTAAGGAAGAACTACGTCATAGGAATTTCTGTTATGCATTGTGAGAATGCTTTAGAGCTTGATAGAATGTGTCCCTTGAAACACAAAAAACGTCATTGTGTATAAGCTGCAAAATTCTAACATATCGACGGTGTAAGTCGGCAATCACATAACTCGGTTTGCGACGTCGCAGACTTCCTGTCATACTTACTTTATTTTTTATAAACGGAAAACTACCCAACGGCAATTCTTTAAAACTCCCGAGAGTTTTCTTCTCTGTGCGCAGACAATTCTGCAAAACCTTCAAGGAATCATGTCAATTTTTTCTCTTTTAAAAAAATAACATACAGGCGGAGATTTTCAGACACAGAAAACGAGTTATGCATGTGATTGCCGACTTACACCGTCGATATATAGACGTGCAATACTCATGAAATTATTTTCTCCCTATCAACGCCTCCTGTATTTAAGTATGATACCCCGCCAATATCGCCACTCTGATTCATGTATTTTTTTGCTAACTTTAGTGTAGTTCTGCGCCTGTCTTTCATATTGTAGGAAGAAATTTTAATCATAAATAATTCTTTCAGGTTAACTTTTCGAGGATTGTCACTTCTGAACACTCTCGATTTGGAATGGAACAGATTGAGCAACATTGATGGAGACGCCTTCATTGATTTGGGATCGCTCACTAGAATTCAGCTATCCAACAATAAGCTGGCTTTTATGGATAAATTGTACGAAATTTTCGGCCCGACTTCTTCTCCACTACAATACTGCAAAAAACTTGAGATCATTCTGTTGGCAAATAACTCCATAGAAACTATTTTCCAAGACTGGCAGCTCCTAACAACTCTGCGCATTCTCGACCTCAGTCGCAACAAAATAAAGAATATCAGTGTAAGTAAATATCCTGACTCTAATACCTGTGTATTTATTTTAAAACCTGATTTGGGCAATGATATTTTTTGAAAAAAAGATGAGTGTGGTGATACAAGTTGGGAAATCAGGACTCATACATTGCTGTTCGCCTCTTGGGACAGTACCCTGCATGTGCCAAGTCTACAGACTGAAAGAGTTTTTCACACTTTTTGTGGTTTCTGAGTTAATTTGATGCCATGACCTGATTCAATGCCGTACCCACACCTCTGATTCAGGTACAAGAAGTGTTCAGATTCGCATTTTGCCTCCTCATTCACGTAGGATCAAAAAAACCTTTCCCACCCTGTGACCCACGACAGAAATTACTGCCACTTTTGAAATTATTTCTTCAGTGAATTTTGTTTTTTAAGTGTTTGAAATTGTAATCTTACTTAATTGGAATTCAAGAAATCTGACATGATTTATTCCTAGAATACTGCCAGACCACAAATGTATGACATGTAAATGTTTACTCCCCTTTAATCGCTAATTTTCATTGTTTCCTTTTTTCTAGCGGTAAAAAATTGGGCTAATATAGTTAGTGACCTGTTAATCTAAAAGTTCAGCTTTTCCCCCCAAAAAATTCACTTTAATCTGAAAAAATATCAGAAATTAAAAATCTATTTTAACTAGTCTGTTCAGTTGAATCATTTATTTCTTGTTTTAGTCGTAATGAGGTGTTTTTCATTTTTTCCAGAAGGAGGATTTATTATTTGTGTCGAACGATGTGACGGTGAACTTGAATGACAACGAAATCTCAACGGTCAATTTCCGGCATATCGAACAGTTCGCTCTGCTTCAGTTAAACAGTAGCACTGGAGTCAACTACAAAAATGAGAAGAAAAGCATAAATGTCAAGATAGGAAACAACCCCATAATATGCGACTGTTTCATTTACGATTTGATTCGCTACTACGAAGGAACACTTACCCCTGAAGTGCGGTTCTTATTCAGCATCGACTTGGGAGAGACACGGTGTGCAGGCCCTAACGGAATGCAACATCTAAAAGTGGCCACATTAAACTCAAAAATTCTCACCTGCTCCTGGGATCAAATCGGTAATATTTCGCATCCATGCCCACAGCACTGTGCTTGCGCATTTAGAGTGCATGACAATGCAATGATTATGGACTGTTCGAACGGAGATTTGGATCGGTTTCCTGACAGTATTCCCTCTGTTAGTGGGTTAATGAAAACAGAATTGAACTTGAGCAACAACAAACTGAGGAAGCTGCCAACGGATGACGTTTTCATCAAGCACAACATCACCAAAATTGATGTATCTTACAATCAAATTGGCAACATCGATCAAATCTTATTCCCACAAAGTTTACAGGTCAGTGATAAATATTTTTATCTCACCATAAAATGTTGTACTTTAGGGCCCGATTCGGATGGTCGAAAACCAATCAAGCTTCTGCGAAACACGTTCGACAGAACAGATAAGATTCTGAAAAAACTAATTTGATAAATGACGTGGTTTGAGCCATGATGAAAAGTTCGACCGCCTGGACTGGCTTTCAGATGTAGTAAATTTTTCAGTGTTTCTGATGTTAGCGGTGTTTTAACTTACGTGTCCTCCCTCCAATGCTTGATAACTTGCAACTTGTGCCGGGCAATGTACAACTTGTATCTCATTGCCCGCCGCACAGTGGATCGAGTCAATGGGAGAAGTCGGACAAAATCTGGAAACTTTGAAAGCTTATATTTTCGAAAATATAGAACGAAAAAGTTCAAAAGTGGTTCTATTAGATTCAGGACCGGATATAGGGGGTAGCCTCATGGGCCGCGGCCCATGGCGGCAAATTTAGGGGGCGGCAAATTTTGCAATTTTTTTTAAATGTAGGTATTAAGAAAATCGGATTCAGAAAAACAAATACAAACGGGAAAAGGTGACAAAATCTCTCATTTCCTAAGTGTATATCTCTAATTTTGTCGTCTTTCTGTGATACAACAGACAGCACCTTTAATTAGTCGAGTTAAGACTAAGAGAGAAACCGAACACGGAATTTGGCCTGGAAAGGCGCGGCGCAGAGAGCAATGATGACGGGAACTTGAGATGAAAAGGAGAAACCCTCGGCACGGCGGTCGGCATGTAACACGTATTAGCGCCTACAAGACTGCATGAATACTTCACGCATTGCGTCAAAGACAGTGCGGTCGCTGCGGTCAGCAGCGGGCGGCGTGAAACACATAGCGCCTACAAGACTGCATGAATACTTCACGCATTGCGTCAAACACAGTGCGGTCAGCGCGGCGCGGCGGCGGAATTTAAAATTATTAAACCGCATTTATGTTCGTTCTTTCATAATTTTTTCGTTCATTTCTTATAAATGGAAGGCCTTGTCCACACAGAAATAGGTTTATGGAACTTAACTTTCGCGCAAAGCTTAAATCAAGAACCAAGCCTCTTAATTTGAGCGGATTTGCTTTTGATTTTCCAGTGTACGCCACACATCTACCGGGAAGTGCAAGTAATGAATGTGAAAGACATTCTTTACTCGCACTCCCGGGTAGATGCGTTGCGTATGCTTGAAATTGATAATGTATCTTAAATGAAAGATTGGTACCTAAAAATATTAAATTCATAGGTTCACCACATCGTTTTTATTTGGCTAGTTTTAACTACCTATACGTATTCCAGGGTATGTTTGTTGCCTACGTGGTGAAATTGAAGGCGAACCTTAAGAAGAAAATATCTGTCAATAGGTTCATGCATTGTCTTATTTGTCTATTTACTATTCAGACCGCGTGTGCGAAACTATTGACTGATTTTGTCTACGTAAGGTTCGCCTTCAATTTCGCCGCAAAGACAACAAAAATGTAGATGTTTCCTGTATTAAAACTGGCTGCCTGTTGGTTCTGACAAAAAAATTCTGACGTTTTTCAGGTTCTACGCCTGGACCACAACAATTTAAGCAAGGTCTCGGAGCAAACACTCCACCGCTGGGAGCGCCTTGAACTATCTCAAGTGACCTTACACGGGAATCACTGGAAATGCGACTGCGAGGCGGCCCCTCTTTTGAATTTCATACAAGCTCACTACACAAAGGTAAAATATTCTTGAACGCATATTAAGGGATCAAAATAATGGGACGAGTCAAAACGTAGGTAAGAGGTTGAGATTGACTAGGAATCTTACCTAGGCAGGGCCAGATTAAGGAGGTGGGCACATGGGCCGCGGCCCATGGCGGCAAATTTTGCGATTTTTTTAAATGTAGGTATAAAAAAATCGAATTTAGAAAAAAAATTACAAACGAGAGAAGGCGACAAAATCTCTCATTTCCTGAGAATATAGTAATTTCTAATTTTGTCGTCTTTCAGTGATACAAGAGAAAGCACCTTTAATTAGTCAAGTTAAGAGAGAAACCAAACACGCAATTTGGCCTGGAACGGCGCGACTTAGAGTGAAATGATGACGAGGACTTGAGATGAAAAGGAGAAGCCCTTGGCGCGGCGATCGGCATGTAACACATATTAGCGCCCACAAGACTGCACGAATACTTCACGCATTGCATCAAACACAGAGCGGTCATTGCGGTCAGCGTGAAACGGATAGCGCCTACAAGAATGCATGAATACTTCACGCAATGCGGCAAACAGTGCGATCAGCGTGGAGCGCACAGCGCCTACAAGACTGCGTGAATACTTCACGCATTGCGCCAAACTCGGTGCGGTGCGGTCTGCGTGGTGCGGCGGCGGAAGTTAAAATCATTAATCCACATTGATGTTAGTTCTTTCATAATTTGTTCGTCCATTTCTTATGAAAGGAAGGCCTTGTCCACACAGAGATAGGTTTACGAAACTTAGCTTTCGCGCAAAGTTCCGTGAACTTTTGCTAGTACTTATTGTTGACAGGGCTTTCCCGAAAAATGTGTTCAACACGAGTGAACGCGTCTTATGCACCCCTCCTCCGCTGGCACGTTCATTTTATGGTTCTCATTGATGTTTCAAAACGAATGAGAAGGGGGCGGCAAAATACAGGCGCCCAACGGGCGGCAAGTAGATAAATCCGGCCCTGTACCTAGGGATCCACGGAACTGAAGCTCTGAGTGCAAGGAAGGCTCATTCTAGGTTGTGGTACTTCTAAATCTTTGTCACTAATTTTTACCCTCAGGGGGACACACAAGTAATGGGTGACTTTTCTGGAAGTTATGTTTAGAACAAGTAAAACTCTGAAATTAGCGAACTAGAAAAAGCTAAAGAAACGGCTAGTAAAATTTCAGATTCAATAATGCTTTTGATTTTAAAAAAATAAGTGATGTAAGTATGGAAAATAATACAATACAACTCAATAATTTTACATAATTAAAATGTCGTCATTTCCTATCCTAGATTTTGACAAAATAGAGTCTCCTGTAAGAAATTGAGAATTGAAACTTCTTATTTTCTAAAATAACCATTTTTCTTTTTTATCTTCTTTCCAGATCCCAAATTACGAAAATGTTACTTGCTGGCCAAGCAATACACCAATTAAGAAACTCAAAACTAGCAACCTCTGTCCTCTAGACCTCCTCATCTATGGGTGCATTTCAATTGCCATCCTCGGTGTTCTAAGCGGGTTCATTGCAGCAGTGTATTACCGGTATCAAAGAGAAATTAAAGTATGGCTATTTGCGCACCAGCTTTGTCTGTGGTTTGTTACGGAGGAAGAACTCGATAAGGATAAGAAGTACGATGCGTTTGTGAGTTACTCCAGTCTTGACAAAGCATTTGTTGAAGATATTTTAGTACCTCAGTTGGAAAGTGGCCCAAATCCATTTAAACTTTGTGTGCACTATCGAGATTGGCCAGTGGGTGAATTCATTACTGATTCGATCATAAGGTCCGTAGACAATTCTCGAAGAACTTTGATTATCCTTTCCAAAAATTTCATAGAAAGTGATTGGAGCAAGCTAGAATTTCAGGCGGCTCATAAAAGAGCTTTAAGTGAAGGTAGAGCTAGAGTCATCATCGTCCTGTTCGGTGATATTGGACCGAAAGACAACCTAGACGAGGATGTTAAAACATACCTGTCAACTAATACTTATGTTGAGTGGGGTGACCCATGGTTTTGGCAGAAACTGAGGTATGCTCTACCGCATCCTCCAGAACTACGCAAAAAAGTTCCGGGTGAGCTCAGGGATAAAAACATAAGGAGGGTAACAACAGAAAAATTAGATTTGGTGCATAAATCAAATGGTACCGTTAATATGGAATCAACACCTCCAGCTAATAGTATCACGATGAATCCTTTTAACTCATTAAACGGAGTTGTAACAAATGATGCATCTTTAATTCAGTGTAAGTGAATGTAGTATTTGACGTCTAAATAGAAATATTTGTGGATTGAAATACTCAAGGATTACATAGAGTCATGATGAGATAAATGAATTACACCAGGAAAATGAGGACCAAATTTTTCAAGGTTTCATGTGTTCAGTATCAATTTCAAAGACCAAGGTGGTTTTGATTTATGCGACTTTGAAGTATAAATTTCAATTAGGTAATTGCCAAAACCTACAGGGTAAAATTATTGCTATTTCATCGGAGTGTTGTGTATGTTGCCTATCCACTAATTGAAGGGGCTCCAAGAGGATCAAGTTCAATAAGAATTGAAATTGATTGCGAACATTGAAATAAGTTACAATTTTCATTTGCATTGCAAATTTCATACATTCCTCACTTACAAGACTATTTTTATTGATTGTTTAAAATCAGCATCCATTGACCAAAATGATTATATGAAAACATGAACATTCCATGGTACAAAATTGCAATCTTATTGCATTAAATTGTGTTTCAATATATTTGTTGCACTGTTCTACTTGGAGAATTGATGTTGATTTTCAATAATGTGAAATTCATCTTTATTGTCGTGAAAATGACCCCTATACTGATGACTGAAACAAGAGATTTCTCTTTCTCAATATGTTTGACTTCAAAACAGAGTATTTTCTTAAATCGTGATCTGTGTAATCCTAAATTTGCATCACGTAATTTTTTAAAAACTCCCATCAGCTTATCCAACTTGATTGTTGCAGGGTTGAGAGAGTTGAAATCAAAAAACTTTTTTATTTTAAGTTCTCAGATATAAAATGTCCATTGAGATACTATTTTCCTCAAGACTGATCCTTATCTGTAAAAATAATGAGCGTAAACTTAACCATATCAAGTTTATTTAATTTCCATACTTAGATCCAAGGCTGCAAGTTACTGAGCGCTTCATATTGACATAAATAATGGATGCTCACTCAGTCACAAATTTCTCAATTGTAAACAATATTTTCTAAAGATCTCTATTAGTGTAAGTACCCACCCAACAATAATTGAGTTAGTTGTGTCGAAAATAAGAAAGCCCATTTTCAAATGAGCTCTAGTTTGCAAGTGTTTTTATGCACTACAGAGCTCGTGCAAAACTGGACTTGTTCCCTTTTCACAACCAATTTGATTATAAAAAAGTGTTCTCATCAGTAGCCATTTCCTGAAAATCGAATGTCCATGTGAACTGGGCACGCTTTTAATGTGTATATAAGGCTGTGATTTACACGAGGGGATGAGTCTCTTATGTGGACTTTTCTTCTGTATTTTCAGGGTTTAAAAATTTTATTGTGTATGTAAGTCACAGCAGAGTGTCCAGTTTGCACTGAAATTTCAATTGTGGAGAAAAGACCAATTCAAAAGCTTTTTTTTTTTTTTTTTTTTTTTTTTTTTTTTTTTTTTTGGACAATAGGAGTTCAGACGTACTTTTTCCTCCTTTATCTGACAGAAAAAAATTGTATGCCAACATAAATTAATAAATTGATACATTTCGGATCTTTTATGTATCAATTATTTCTTGCTTCAAGGAAAACTCTTACATTTTTCATTTTTTGACCATTTGGAACTTATAAATGATTTGTCTATTGAGTGTGCTCTCATAAAATCGATTGTTCGTAATGGATTCAAACTGAAGAAAAATAATGTTATTGACTTGTGAGAGTTACCAGTGCTCTAAAATTCCTCTGCTTGAATTTGAAGGGAGTAGAAATTTTAGAGTCATAATGCACAATGCATCAATTATAAGAAGATAGAACCATTCTTCTACATCACAGTAATAACGGTCCTCTAAATTTACCTGAAAATTTTACCTCTCTTTAATAGTTCCTTAAAAATTAAGTCCAATATAACTGTAGTCATTTATTAACTTAAGCGTGTAATTGTGGTGTAAATAAGACTTTTTGACATTTTGTTGCAAAATAGTGTAAATAATTGAAAGAGTGTGATAAAAATTAGTAGTCATACGTGTGTTGTAATAAACAAGTACCAGAACAAATGTTATTTTGATACTATTGTTTAAATTTTGTGTATGATTTAGTTACAGCTTTAAAAGGATAAAAATTATGAAATTATGTATGAAGACTGGACGGAGAGTAATGCACTTTTGAGAAATATAATTTTTTCAAAAACTAAAAAACCAATGAAAGTAGGAGTGTAATTAGGTATCTTTTTAATTATGTACTACGTTTTGACATGTCAATGTCAAATATGATGCACCATCTCTGATGTTGAGCAGGTTTTTTCATGGCACCAGCACAGTGTTCGCAAGTTCCATTCTAAAGACAGCTTTTCTAACTTCATAACCAAAGGAGAATTTTTTGTCAGTGAGGTGTCTTTTTGAACTTGGAAATTAGAGAAAGTCTCAAAAAGCATGATAAAATCTGTATGGAAGATGTGATACCTCAGCTTTTGGCTTCATGATATTTTTTTAGTCTTGTTGAACATTTCGTGCAGAATAGGGGAATAACAGTAACTAATTACTAGTCTACTTTAGCTCAAGTAGATTCTGACACATTGGTGAGTGTCGATTACTTTCCGTCCAGCCTTCCTATTAAGTACCTACTTTTATTGGAAATTTAAAATATTAGGTGCACTTAATTGAATGTACTGTCTGTCACATTCATCGAACAACAAACTGAATAATAGACTCAATCAATGCTACATGACTTGAGTCAACAAAGCTCAATACAACTTATACTCTATAACTTTTTGAAATATTTGAAGGCTTCTTGTAAATTAGTTTTAATACGAGAAGGCATGTAGATATTGTTAAAATGTACGTATCTTTGTTTTTCACTTTTCTTCAGTTTTCATCTTTCCTTCTTTGTAAATTTTTGTCAAAACTCATTTCTTCCTCTTTTTTAAAAATTTGTTCCCTCTTTTTTTACGAGAAAGATTATTGTTTTCATTTTAATAAAAGTTTTCAAATTTTTATTTCCTTTGTTCATCATTTTCTCTATGTAGTAAATATACCATATTCAGAGACAAATCTTCACTAACCGTCTTTATGCAGAAACAGGGTCTCACGGATCCCAATAAGGTAGAAAAGTGTTCTGAAGAAAATTTCACTTGAAACTCGGTAAATTCAGTTTTTTAAAGTGGCACTCAAGAACGATTTTGAAAAAGACCCTTTCTTTACAATAACTCAGAAAAGCATCTGACTAAAAAAAAGCTGGAGACAAATTTAATGATCATGAAATTCTGTTTAAGAATCATAGTTAAATGCAGATAATTTTGGCGCAAGCTCAAAAGTTGGATGAGATATGAGTCCGAAGGTTCCCAAGACAAAAATTATTAGGATGTAGAAAAACATTGTTAGTTTTTCTGAATAGGCAAGGAAGGGGTTTCCCTGGCAGATAATAAGGGCCCTTTTCACAATTCCGTCACCTTTTTATGAAAACATAAAAAGCTTTGAATTTCTGAATTTCAGATAGATTTTCCACTTAAAATTTTAGCTACAATATGTAATTTTACGTTAATAGTATACTTCTATTTCGGTTTCGTGTAATTTGTGTGAAGACACTAAATTGCCTCAATTTTAAAGAATGTCTGAACTTTTTGGCTCTTATCAAACCTACTGCCATAACAGCCTGCAGGCCTGCTTAGGGACTTGATAAATTAGTGAATTAGAGGAAAAATAATCATAAATTCAACAATTAAGTTTGAGTTATCAAATCAACTATATTATGCACAAATTAAATTTCACAGGATTTAATACTTCATAATAGCACTAATTTAGCAATGAAAAATTACATACGTACAGTAATTTATTTACACGGTTTTTTATTTATTTATTTTTTTTTCATTAAATTAATTGATAATTGGACAAAATCAAACTCGGTAAAAAACATGGAAATTTTACTAACTAATTAAGGAAAACAAAATTGGCTATGAATAGGGGTAAAAACAGGGGGTTTTTGAAGGAATAATACAAAATGAACAGTTACGCAAACAAGACAAAGTCCTGGTGATAAAAAGTTAGCTGAAATGAAACAGGACAAATGAGAACTGAGAAATATAGTCAGGGCAGTATTAATTCTTGAAGAATTCATTCCGTTCCTAAGTAGAGGTCATTGTTGACTTGTCATTTTCAATTACTGAGAGGAGCAAAAACAATATCCAAGTGAATGATGGTAGGATTTGAGTGAAAAAAGAAAATATGTATCGAGGCCCTTCTTTATTTTTGTCACCGTCAACAAAAAAAAAAAAAAATACTGACTGGCAGTTAGTTTAAGTGAGCCTGTTCTAGCTTGTCAGTAAAGTACTCCTGGGTATCCACGGAATTTAAAATTAAAAATATGTTTAAAGGCATATTTGATTTCTAATTAGCAGTATACTCCAAGAGGCAATAATCGTTAATTGTATCGGTCTACCTTAGAAGGACTGAAAGCGTCAGAGATGAGAATAAGAGAGGAATATTAAAAACCGTTCAGATCGACCAATTCAGAGCTTTACAGTATAAAAAAGATTCATTAATTATCAAAATATGGAACAATCTTAAGATTTAAAACAGGTCCATTAATACTTTTCAACTATTTTTTTTTGTATTTTCATTTCTGGTGCTTAATTCTTTCTGAGAATGACCCGATTCAATTACGCTCAGAGGAAATTAGCGAGTTGAACTCCTACCAAAGATGCACGTATAAAAAAACTGATTCATTTCAAGAAAGAGAATTGGCTATGCAAAGAACAACTTTATCTTTAAATAATAATTCAATGCTACCATTCAATCATACCTACAAGTTTCATTGCTATATGTTACTGCTGATTATGCGTTTTAATGCTCTCAAACTTTCCATTGAATTTAAAAAAAACTAACAAGCTTAGAGGGAGTAAAAATCGAAGTATGTCAAATAAGACTACTTATTAAAAAGCAGCCAACAGATGAAGTATCAATTAATGATGATCTGAAGGATACTTAATCGGGGTAGTTCTGGTTCATTGAAAATTAAAATGCCTGGGCAGATTCTTATTCATTGAAAATTTTTCACTTCTCGTCATTTCCCTGACAATGGAACATAACTCCATTCCAAGGTTGCAATATTAAGTCAAGCAAATACTTTTTCACATGAATAAAACAAAGCAATTTCTGTCAAAAATATTGCTGATTTCGGTGTGTATTTGAAGATTAATCAGTCAAATTTTCGGTCAGAAATGACCAATAGATTTCTGGTAAAAATGCATTTGAGAGAGAAAAATATACATTTCTGGAATTAAGTTATGTTCTTTAGTCTACGAAAAGATGGATCCAATCTTACAGTCCGATAAAGCTTGCTAAAGTTCTTCACACCTTTTTCATTTTACATAAGATGAAAAACACGTTGAAAAACCTCCCCACTAATGTTCTATCAAATTAAATGTGAGACTTAATATTTGTCTGGGCCAAGGAAGCCCCTTAAAATTTTGGAAAGGCCACCCTATGAGCGAACTTGAAATTTTTCCGGGTGGCCAAGAAAAATTTCATTACCTAACTGCATAGAGAAGAACAAATTGGTAGTATAACTTGACAAAGTCAATTAAAAGAAGGTCCTTTTGAGTGGAATTTCAGAAACATATGTGTTCCGTCTACAAAAATTCAGTAAAATCTATCAGGATGAAGGAAATAACTCTGTAAATTGCAGATCTTAGACTTGAATGCAATTATCAAACACTGGTTTCGGATTGACCTTTACAACCTGCGCTTAAGATAAATAGGAGGATTTTCATTTGCCCTCTTACGATGATGGAAGCTTACTTTCAATTGATGCACTCCATCAGCTTAAAATTATGTACATAGAGGAGAAAAGTCATGTTAAGTGGTAACTTCTTGAAAATGTATTACTATCAATACAGGTAACCTCAAGCTTTCTAAATGGAAATATTAGATTTCCTGTCAAAGTTATTTCAAGAGCGGGTGGACAGTAACAAATTTTAATAAGGCAAATTCAAATTTAATGAGCGACAGTCTATAAAAAAGAAAATAACCCTCCTAAATCTTGCGGTACAGTTGCACATTTTCAAAAAGGCTTACAGAAAAAAAAAAAAAAACGACGAGGATTACATAGGTAGTGGGATAAAAATTATTTTTAAAAAAATAAAAAAGAAGTCATTTGAAAATTGTTACATATATTTACACTCTTTCAGGTTCGATCATGATAATTACTTTTACAAAAATTGAGAACTTGAAAATTATTATAAAAATATAAAAGAACAACAATCGTTAGTTTTGTAAAGAAAAGAAAAAAAGTTAGAGGGAGAGAACCAGTTTGAGTACCAAAAATGAGTCCGGTAATGATAAGACTACTTTTCACACTTGCAGTTCTGAGAGCCCTATTCTTTATAATCTTTCTAAAAAAGTGGTGAGATAAGAGTCAATGATGGATAAAAAATTTAAAAAAAAAAAAAAAACCATTCAAGTATGTCTACAAGAGAAGGGGAGCGTAAAAAAAAAAAAAAAAAAAAAGTCCAAACAAGAAAACACAATGATAGGGTGGTAAGGTCAATAAAGTATCTTATGAAGTTTTAAATCAGATATCAAACAGAACTGCCACCTTAGAGGATGGATAAAGAGTCATCAACATCAGACAGAAAAAAAACTAAGTATTTGTGAGGAAATAATTTCCAGTCTAGCATTCAATGATGATAGATAAGAACCGGTTTGATCAAACCAAAATACTGCTGTGATAAATCGGACTTTCTTTGAAGTAGTGTTTACTGAATTTAGGGAGGCCGAATCTAATGGATATACAGTGATAAAAACAGCCCTTTGTCTTATTTTGTTGCACTTTCTGGTGCATTGACTGCTTAAAGTTAGGAGCTGAGGTAAATGAGTATTCAAAACATATGCATTAGTATTGCAGAAAGTGAAGAAAAAAACCACTGAGATGATTTTTAATCTAGATAAAATACAGAAAGAAGGAATAATTTTCTGAGATTAAATAGTGATACATATCACAATAGAGGGCAATGATTCAATGGTCATTATTAGAATCTTCTACAATCATTCCATGATAAATTCTCATGTTGGAGAAAAATAAGCAGAGCTATTACCGTAAGGTGTGGATTAACTGTAAGATGAATCGGTAATCAGATGATCTATCATGATTGGCTTTAAATCCATTCATAAAAGATTTAACGAACAATTCTAGCTCTTTAGTGCAACTGCCTATCAGAAATTTCAAGCAATACTTGTATTAAACCATGTGAAACGATAATTACTTTCACAAAGATTGAATGGACAAAACTTGAATTTTTGTAACTTTTTCGGGTAATTTTCTCTCAGAGAAACCAATGAGAACAGAAAATACAGGGAACTGCAATTGGACTACATTTTACAATGAGTAGCAGATATTTCTAGCTCATTTAAAAAACAACTTATGTGCCGCTAGTTTCCCTAAGCAGATATTTGCTTTTGTGAATGAGCCAGAAATGGTCAGTTTTTTAGTGCAAAGTGTAGTCCAATTGAGAGCAAGCTACCCTGGACTGATAATAAAAATGCTTGCACACTTGAAAATGTTTTGTTTAAAATTCTTTTGACAAAAAGCAATTGAGAGGTATTGATGGGCAATCGATGAAAATAAATTTTGTGCCGTTCATAAACAAGAATGAAACAAATGGAGAAAATGATTTCGAAACTTTGATGAGCAACTTATCCACTTTTACCTATTTTGAGCCTCGAATATTTACAGCATGTTCCACATGCCTAGAGGTAAATAGAAACACAAAGAATAAATAATGAAAAATTGAGATAAGAAGAGAATAAATATGGAAAAGTGGAACACACTTTTTAAGTTTAGAAAACATCTGCTGCAAACTTGTCTAGACACTCAGTAAACAAAAACAGCATAAAAAAATAGAGAACAATGAGGTAATTATCACTAGCAATTCAAAATCAGCGACATAATATCACTTAGAGAAGTATTAGGATAAAAAGAAAAGAATCTTCAACAAATGTCACTTATACAATGATAAAAAAACATACAACAACAGCACATTTCCTAAAGATGTTCATATGTATAAAAGAGTACATCTAAACTCAATAGAAAAGTGTTGAATTGGAATTCAAGTCGGAAAAATTTACATTATACACGAATGCGAATTATTTATTATATATGTGGATGCATGTTCTCACACACACATACATATATTTACAAGGATATGATACAAAAAATTAAATTATTGTAAAAATAAATCGAAAGCAGAGACTGCATCAGAATTCTTAGGTGAGATCAAATGCGTTACCGCCAGTCGCGGTATAAGAGGTAGGTTGTGAGAGCGGGCGGTAGATTTAACGATTGTATTCTTTCTTCCAGTTCAAATTTTCCGACTCGTTGCCTAATTACTTGCCGGCAGAGATCCATTAAAGGTAAAGGTTCAGCTGAAAACAGAGGAGTCAACAGTTAGTTTTCAAGTAAGTGCATCATGAACGCAACCACAAGATTTTGTAACCTTCTGGACAGAATAAAAAGCACCATCTATGCATCAGCACAATCTTGCCGGACTTATTAAGCTTGTCCAATTTTTTACGAAAAAACTAATGAACAGAATCATTTAAAAAAATGTCACCTCCTATCTCTTAAGCAATCAAAATTAATCTTTGAAATTTTCATGACAGTATAAGCTACAATTATGAAGGAAAAATTATAACAATATCAAGATGCCTGGGAACACAATGCCTGAACGCAAATTTTGATTCCAATACTTTGGCCGGAAGAAGACGATTTGAAATAACATCCATTAAAGGTAATTTTTGGAAGATAAAGCATTTATTTACGTTCCTCACAAATTCCTTCATTATTTTGATTATTCTTTCTACTTCCATTTGTAGAGGGAAAATGAAAATTCTTTTTATGTACTCAACTTAAAAGACAGCTAAAATGTCTGAAACCAAGATTTTAATTTTTAAACTTTAAGAAAAAAGTTTAAACTTATAATTAAATTTACAATTTAACCCTGTTATCAGGCACCTTATTCATCTATTAAGATTGTTAAGTTAACCAATTCTAAAATTGCATTTTTTCCAACTGAAAAATGATGCAGGGTAGATAATTTAGCCTCTTAGCTCTCAGTTTCTCATTTAAATTCACAAGGAAGACACATCCAAAATTCAATTCATAGGTGAGAAATAGGTGTTTTCGGTACGTGTCGATTCTAACTCCCTTGTCACAAAAAAAAAAAAAAAAAAAAAAAAAAAAAAAAAAAAAAAAAAATCAGTCACTAAGTTGTTATCAGTGTGCCCTGCAATAAATTAACCTCTCCAGCTCCTGAGGTTTTTTTCAGAAAATTTCAGCAGGGAAAAGCTTTATATGGAACCTGCATCTTGTTGTTAGCAAAAAAGACTGTGTAAATAGTATGTAATGGTCGAATTGACCTTGGTTGATTAAGGTTCTTCGTGGGCAAATGGTTAAAATTGATTTATTTCAATGGAAGGTATGCCTCGATATTTTGCATTAAAATTAATTTAGAACTTTTTAAAAATGCGTATGCTGTAAGAAAATTTGGTGAGCAAACATGGTTTAAGGCACTATTCACTGTCGATTCATCAACTCATTGTTTGGGAGATGGGATTGCTAAGTGAAAGCTTCTTTAAATCAAACAACAAAAAAATGAACAAATATGAATACTTACGATCTAGACCGCCAATATATTTCATAGTTATTTCACAATGGCCCCAAACTGCACTGACAATTGGATGTAATTTACGGCCTTTTAAACCTCTAAATGCCACTCCTAAATATTGCCCATCAACAACAAAAGACAAAGTTCCTTCGTCCATATCCAAGACAACTGAAAACAGAAGACGAAAAAATTAATTTTTGCACCATTAATAATTCTGGCTTGATTCTTGAGATGATTCTTAAACAAAACCAGAATCATCAAGATTCTACACTGAGAGGGCTGGAAAAAAAGAAAAGAAATGCACACCAGATGAAATCTCAGTGATGGGTCAGTTTGGTCATTTTTTTAAAGTGTATTATTCGAAAGTATTAGAAGAACTAAGCATGGGTACTTTTAATTCCAAACTTTATTTGATGATGACAACAGAGAAAAGATAAACTTGAAAGAGCAAAAAATTAGGATGGCTGAAAACAAGGTTAGTATTGCATGCTCACCACTATTAAATTAACCAGTCATGATCTATGTGGTGGCAGAATCTGTGATGAAAAGCGCGCAGTGGCGACACTGAATGTTGCTGATTAGCAGGAAGGTATAGGATAGGTTGGCGATTTTGTTATGTGATTTCTTTCTTAATTATTTAAAGTATTATGAGCGCACAGTACAATTTGAACACACATTATCGCATATTCACAGAAGTAGCCTAATTTCAAGTGAGATGTTGATAATGATCCAAACAGAATCCATCCAGTCCAGGAAACAGATCCAGGCAGTAGATAATAGAAACTTCACTGCCGCCATTTCTTATTGGCGTTGCATTTTGTGCAAAGGCAATTTTCTACTAATTCAGGGTAGCATGCTGAGATTTTTATTTTGAAAGTGATTGTAGAATGGAATTTAGGTCAAATTTTAAAGGATCTTACAGGTCTTCAAGGGGACCTAAATCCACTGGTAACTTCCAGTTAGGTTCTGCGGGCAGACATTTGAACTATAAGCCTTTTCATTTGGGAAGCATGGATTAGAACGCTTTTATTTGAAGTTTTTAAAAAAAATTTCTTACAACTTAACTGTGGGAAAAAATACATACCTAGAAATTTATCGGGTACGATGAATGTTTCATCTGGTTTGAGAAGGGCAGGATACGTCACTTCAGACTCATTCTTTGAATCGTGGTATAATTTATTCCTCGTTAAATCCCAACCCCATGACATGTCATTACTGCCAACAAGGCTCTAAAGAAACAAAAAACAAGACAAAAAGTTAATCACTTGGCTCTATAAAAATCTGTTCAAATTTCACTTTGAAAGTACAGCGAGTTTTCTTTGCTACTTTAAATGTATTTTTTGGTGCAGTGTTTAAAAAGATTAAAGTGGCTTCTTTAATTTCCTCAGGATTTAACGCAAAAAAATAGCCCAGCAAAATGAATTTTACCGTGGAAAATCGGCTAGTTGCAGATTCGTGCTTTGATGGTTTATTGAATATAGATAAGCAAAAATTAATAAGATCTATTCAAACGTAAAATGTACCTTCCAATGTGGACAGAAATATTACACATTGAAAAATTTGGTTGAGATATCTCCCATGGAAGTAGACACCATGGTTTCATCAGTGTTTTATGCCGAGCATGTAGTGCAAATCAGTAAATGATGAGACCATGATATGCACTCCAGCGATGGGGGACATCCTTCACTACTTTTTCGATTATGTAGTACGGTGAGCAAAGACAGTCATGATGGCTGATATTTGATAATGCCTCAAGTTTTCTCACAAGTAGCTCCTTCCAAAAGAAAAAAAGAGAAAATGTTTGCGGACCATACCTGATATCCTACAGAATGAAGAGGGGCATCTTGCGTTGCAACTCCTACAACAGCATGAGTTCCCCGCTGTCTCGAAGACCAGTAAACTTCCCATACGTGGAGACCTTTCGTGAAGCCTACTTTCCCTCTGATACAATCGGTGCTTTGTGCTACAGGATGCCTATGGAATGTTAATTTATCTTCATCCTGTACAAATAAGAAGAAGAAAAAACCATTAGGAAAATAAACATAAAAAAACAAATGATCTATCATAAATATAACATCATTGGCGAGACTATCGATCAATTATCTTGTGATGTGATGCTACTCCCAAATAGTAAATACCTGCTTCCCATCAAATTTTAATTAAATACTGGAGTCCATGCAAAATATGTTTGCACACTTTTAGACTGCAACAGAAGATATTCCGAAGTCATTCTTGCAGGAAAAGTAAATGCAAGAATAAAGATGGCGGATTGTCTGTTGCAATCTGCAAGTGCATAAACTTAGTTGGCTAGACAGTAGACTAGTAGACTACAGGAGGCTAAAATTCTTAGAGTCATAATAGATTCTACCATATTCTCTAGACAGGTTGATAATATTCTCCAGGAGAGTGCGCAGACATGTTACCCAGTTAGATTTTTAAAAATACAGTATGAGTAGAAATATTTAAACACTGGTATCAAGGTATGTATGTTCTTTATCTATTTTAAGTCCTAACTTATAGAACAATACGATACTGATTTTAACATTAGAAGGAAAAAATCAAGGATGCAAGAGAAATTTATAAGCTCATGGTTGCTCATGGTAAATAGAACTTGCGTCAATGAGTTGACAGTTGCTTACTTCTGACCTTAACAAGCAGTTTCATCGATATCTCCTTAGGGAAAAGTATCTGCGTGCGACAGCAGCACAGCCGCGCGGAAAGTAAACAACTGCCAACTTCCCTAGTTGGAGTTTCTGCAGATCATATATACTTCCAATTTAAAAAGCGGGTGAAAAGGCTTTTTTACGCAGATGACACTTGAACCTTTCCGCTGAAAATTCAGCCATCCTCAGTTGGATACTAAATGATAAAAAATTTACAAATCTAAAATCTTAGTACTCAGCTGTATCTTTCAAAACGAGAAGAATGTCCAAAATTCTTTTGCTGACAACATTCCTCCCGTTTTGAAAAGTACAGCTGGTTACTCAGATTTCAGGTTTTTTAACATGATTTGTTATCTTTTATCCAACGGAGGGGGGCTAAGTTTTCCACCGAGACGTTTGGGTGTCATTTGTGTTAAAAAAAAGCCTTATTACTCGCTGTTTAAATTGTTTATGATCAAGGGCTGCAGGGCATCCCACAAATTTTATATATACCTCCTTTTATTGAATGCAAAATTAAGTAAAGCTGATATTAGGTGCCAGTAATCAATGATAATGAGGATTACAGAATCTTCTAACTCCAGAACGTAAATGCTAAAAGGCATGTAATCAAGTTCTGATGATTGAAAAGTCAGTGAGACTCACCTTAACAAATATATTTAAAGACCTATCCTCTGAGTTCCAGGCATGTTTGAGTTGTACATCCCGTGATGCAGGGGGCATGTCCAGTAGAATATCCAACCTAGCTGGCCGGGCAATGTCTTGGGCCAATTCCCTTGGTATTACGGGCTTGTATGGCTGTGGGTTTTCTCGGTTTACTGTCTTGACTCCATCTATAAAACAATTAACTATAATTTAATTAATCTTGAATACTTCCGAGGTTAAATTCATCAAAAAGTAGGTGTGTAGCCTTGTAGACCAAAATCTTGAGATTGGCTTGAGGATACAATAATCGGAGAGCAAAAAAATCAATGCAGCAACAATAAGTTCGGTAACATTTTGAGGCAGAATGTTTAGTAAAATGTTTTTGGTGGCAATAAGTGGATCCGGACCAGAGCTGAACTTCTTAAAAAGCACTGGAATTTGAAGCGAAAGGAAAGCCTCGTCCTTAGGATGTCACGCTAAACTTAAATGAGTGATACAACTATTTCAACTCCTGAGCCGCGCGAATTGCGTCCATCCATTTGAAGGCGCCCTTGATTTCTCAATCCAGTTTTAATAATTCAGATATGAGCGGGAGGGCGGGGCAACATTTCAGCTTTTGCAACTTATCTCAATGTAAAGATATTTTTCATTTCATTTTTATGTAAACATATTTTTCTGTAGGGAGAATCGAGTAAAAATTACCGGACATTTCGCTCAGAAGACCATTAAAAACACGCAGATGACGACGTAAATCACTCGTCCTAAACTAAAGTGCGTGATGATGCCATCACGCATGTATTTCAACACGTGGGCCGCTCAAATTGCATTAAAAGGGTTGAACGTGAAATCAAATTTCAAAATTCCTTCACTCTTCCCTGACTTTTTGGAATAACCTAACGCTGAATTTCCCCGACATTTCCTTGACTTCTTATACAGGAAAAAAGAAAAAGGGCAATTCAAAGACAGCGATGCAAAGTGGGAAGCACAGCAATTATTGTATTTAAAGTCAAAACTTGCAAATAACCCGAATACAACGATTTAGATGCTGCCTGGAAACATTGTAAATTATTCCGCGCATTAACGAAAAAAATTAGAGGAGGCAGAAATAAACTAATCAAGAGCAGATAAGTGTCAACATTCAGACCCCTTCAAGTTGAAATTCCACAAAAATTGCGGATTCTGTTCTCACGGCACTCCCTTTTCGGCAAAAATTCGCGAAAACTTGGCAACACTGACGCGCAGTCCTTAGAATTTTCCCGGCTCGGAGAAAAAAATTCCTTGACTTTTCGGGTTGTTTACAAATTCCCTGACTTTTCAGGTTGTTTGCAAATTCCCTGACTTCCAATTTTTCCTGACTCTTGCAACCTTGATGATGTGAGGGTTATAGAATAAGATGTAGAATTAAGAATTCAAATGAACAGGATTCTACTATCTTAATTAAGTAAATGTTATACAATCAGGATCAATTAACTGATTGACACGTCTTCAATTAACTGGTGAGTTCTTCTTCACTCCACAGAACTACGATTTACCAAACAACGCCTATGTTAGTGCATTTTGGCTTAATAATATTCTGATGATTCTTTCATTTTGAAGAGGACCAAGACCACTTCATAGGTATAAACTAAATACATCACATGCTAAGGATTCAGCGCTTATTAGAAAATTAATCAGAAATACAGAAAGGTTGTGAGATTATTTAGGGATGTTCATCGAGAAATAAGGAGCTGATCTCCAAGGCAACAACGCGAGGTAGTTTCTCTGCACGATACTTTCCAGAAACAAGCCCTAAGATTCTAATTTTCTGAGCACACAAAGGGCTTTGGCAAAACGTACCAAGAAGCAAGAAAAGATGCGATCAAAAGTGATACATTGCAAATCCCTCTTTCGACAAAACTCTTCGTTTGCAGTATCCCCCCCCCCCCCCCCCCCCCCCNAACCGTCAACAATCAGGAAAAAACCACTGCAGCAAAGTCTATAATTGCTCACTCATATTTTAGAAGTATAAAATTGGAAGACACCCCGACGAAGATCGACATTTAGATTCCAAAAAATAGAAAATACCTGATGATCTGGATCGCGCTCCTGTCGAATACAGAACGCGGTTGGAGAATCTCTTTCTTTTCGGTTTCGCCATTACGTTTGAATAATAACACTTCACGAAAATCTTGAGTACTTCGGAGACGAAATTAAAATACTATCTACCAGCGGGATACGACTAGAACCGATTCGGTCGAAAGACACACGGACACAGGGAATAATGCACTCCGATTTCAAGCTTTGAATTGAGACTTGCGGAGAGAACACAGAACTTCGAATCTTTCGGAAAAGTTAGGTTAAGAGCGAAGTAAACACTAAAACACTATAACGTTTGCGCAGCAATGACGAGACGAGAACGGGGAACCGGAGAACACATGAAAGAAAGACAACTTATGTTGATGCAACATGAATTAACTCAAAGAAAATAAACTTGAAAACCGAATTGACTGATTTTCGACTAGCTCTAAACGGACGCGACAGAGTTAGCGGGTAGATGAACGAGGACTGAATGAAAAATGCTGAGGTGCCAACTGGTGGCATCCAACTACCTGCCTCTCCTAGCATCCACTTTCCAAACGACAGAATGACCCGCACTCGGCTGGCAGGCAGGGTCGGACAGAACAAAGGCAACCTCCTTGCCTCGTCTTTATCTCCACCTAGCCTTTTGGCGACCTTTTCCCTCACTCTTGTCTATCAGGAGGGGTGGTAGAGAGGGGGTCATCTTAAGGTTCATCTTTAGCGGTATGCTTCCGCACAGGGAGCGCCACGGCAGCACTGCCGTGCTAAGGAAGAACGCCGTACGAGCCTTCAGACGTTGCCAAATTTCTTTCGAGAAAAACCGAATTTACTGGGAAAAGTGTAGATATTTTCCCCCCAAAATTTTCAGACAATTTCTTGCCAGATTTAATATAAAATATCTGAAAAATTTCAAGGAAAAGTATGCTTGAATTGCGTCAAAAAAATATGTTTTATCAAGGCAAATTGGCAACTCTCGAATGTTCATACGGTGTTTTACCTTCGCACGGCAGGACATGCTGCGCTTCGATCAAGGATTGAACGGATGTGACCAAAATCCGCCTAACTGCACTTCCAATCGCTTGTTTTCTTCGCAAATTTTTATCGTTGGTCAGGTCAACTAAGACATATGGATGGATAAGGTGCGAGACTACGTACCTCTATTTCGGTGTTTCGAAATTCCTACTCATATTTTATTTTTGGAAGAGAAATAAGGTAACTGGACTACATTTTGCAATTAGGAACTACAATTTCTGTCTCAGCTGGACTTTGACAAACGTTGGACGTGGCCTCAGAAAATACATCTACTACGGAATCTGACAGAAACGTATGTTTCAAGGATCGGCGGATTTATTATAGAAACTGCGTTGAATAACGGAGACGAAAGGAGAATGGAGCGATCCTATTGGTGGAAGCGGATGATTGCAATGGACGTTAACTAACGTTAACCCACGAGAGGCTCTACAGTTAGTCCATAGTTTTCCCGTTTACAACCACCCATTTCAACCAACAGTGTCGACCAATTTCCTTCATGTTCTCTTATCTATCGCTTCGTCCATCAGTTTCCCGCACCGCAGGATTACAAGGACTCTTGGCTATCAAAATTTTCTATCGTGCTGGTTCAATTGCAATTTAGTTGAGTGTTCTTAGCTGCGTTTAAAGGTTAAGAGAGAGCGAACGTCAGTGCGAAAAGCAATGGGATTCGGGAGTAGGGCGAAAAGGCTGACCGACCCTTGAACAGAGCTGCCCGGGGAGAAAATCGGAGAGAGGAGAAAATCGGAAAGTCGGTGAGAAGAGAGCCCGGCAAACAAAACGGATTGGAGAAAGCGCCGTCTCCGCGCGCGAAAGAAAGTGTGCATTATGCTCGGGAGGGTGTAAATTGCCCCTTCGATATCCAAATGAGAAGGGAACGGGAACAAATATCGACTCGGAAACTTGGTTAATTATGCCGTGTTATGAGTCGCTTAGAGAAGAACGCAAAATATGGTGCAGTGCTTGCCACCATAAATTGAGAAATTTTTCGATAAAAGGGCGCGCGAGATTTCCAATGCAGGGTTGCCACGGAATTTAGAAAATGAAATTTCCTGACAAATTTTGGTGAAAGTCCCTGACAATTATAGATATGACAGGTGGTTAAGAATACATAATTGAATAAGTTACCAGGCAAAATCTGTTGTTCGAAACCTCAAACCCATTCTAGAAAGCAAATAAAGGTGATTTAACAATTCTTCCCAGATACTTTCATCATTTTCCCTGACAATTCCCGGTTTTCCCTGACTTTTGAAAATTCCCTGACAATTCCCGGTATTCCCTAACTGTGGCAACCCTGAATGCTGCGAAAATTGTGCAACGCAGTTCTCCGGTTGTAAGTATTTCATCCGGCAGTTCTGCTATGTATTTTTCCCTGAATCTGCTCCGAGTATTCCTTCACTATTGCAAGGAAGAAAGTAGACTGTACATGGATTTCATCTGCCGCAAACGCTAATGATGTAGATTTGAAGCTTATGTATTCACAGATCTTTTGGAATGAAACGATGGACACATTAGAATAACGGCGATCCTGTAGCGCCCCCACGAAATCAGTACATTGGATTCCTCAGCCAAAGCGCCTTCATCCCAGTGACTATGCAATTTGGGCTACTTGAGAGTTGATATAGTTGTATCATTATTGTGGTCACGCATAACGCACAAGAATAAGGGCGACCACTAAGTAAGACCAATATTAAACCACATGCAATATGCAGTACATTAAACACTTGAGTCAAATGCTGCAAAGAACAAAAATCTCACAATTTTTACAGACGCAATCGTTCGTATCAAACTTCTAAGGCGAGAAAAAACATCCTTTATCTATCATTTTCTCCCCGTATTGATACTTTCTGATCAAAAGCAATGACATAAAGAGGACTTTCCGGTAAAAGGGCGTTGCTCCGGTCTCAAATTTAGCCTTAAAACTGTTGACTAGTTGGATCGAGTCCATTTTTACAGCATTATTATGGGTGTCAGTTGTCTGTGCTGCCGCACCGAAGAAAAACGTTCGAATATTGCCAATTTCGTCCGATAAAAGACTTATTTTTGAGCAGATTCATTAATCCTTCTCCCCGCAATTTTCGCAAACACCAGATTGAGTTTCGAGGGTAAATTCCCCGAAAATTTCAAGAGAAGATAGCAACAGCTTGCTTCCGCCAAAAATACAAAGTCTGTCGAAAAAAATTTGGCGACTTTTTCGTGTTCACGAGACGTTTTTCCTTGGAACGACGGTACAGCAAAACTTGGCGCGAACGCCGAGCTCGAGGTGAGAAAAAATACTTACTTGAGACTTTTTGTCCCATGTTCATTCCCCGGGCGCTACGGGCGCGGTGCAGGTACGAACCGGTCTTGTTGGGCAGAACAGACGCCTTGTAGTTGTGACGTCTTAGCTCTCGCACAGACCGACTGCTACCCCCGCTAGCTTTTAACCTGGAACACACAGAGAAATATAAAGAATTAGTTATTTAGTTTAGTTAGCGTGGGATTGGCTAATAGGAGCTATTTGAAAAAGGGAGGAGCATGAACGACCAAAGCTGGTTCTAACTTCTCTTCAACAAAAATTATGAGTCAATTTAGGTCAGATCGGGCTTGAAACTAACCCCAGCATGCTTCACAAGAAAGGAATCATTTCTTCGGGGTGCAGATAATTTTCGAAGCTCCGCATCCAAGGAATGCGAGGGTCGGGAAAACAGAACTCTAAATATTTTCAGAACGTGCAACAGTATATTCACAGTCAAACTACTTAAACCGGCAAAGAAAAACGTCAATTTATATTTTGAGTGTTGCCAAATTTCCCCCTTAAAATGAAAAAATATCCGTAGTTTTTTTCAAATAATTATTTCATGATAATTTCACGATACTCGAATGCCTATTCAAACATCGTTTACCCTGAGCACTGCAGATTGCAGTATTCGAAGGCGCTTCAACTGTGCTGCCTTGCTGAGGAAGAATCCCGTATATGAGCTTCCGAAAGTTGCCTTCCGATGCAATACGCATTTTCTGGAAATCTTGAGAGTGTATTTCTTGCTCGCACTTGAACGGGAATTATCTGAGCATGTCGAGAAAAACTATTCGTAACAACCCTTAGAAATACATATTTCATCGGCGGGAAATCGGGCAACATGCGAACATTCATTAGGTGTTTTTCCAGCACAGCGGTGCATGCGGGGTGAAGCGTTTTGACATAATTGTCGAGAGGGGTTGAAAGTCAGGTGTTTGACGGATCCTTCGCAAAATGCTGTTGCGGAACCGGTGGAAGCGTGTTGCTGTAGCCGGGAGCATGGTTGCCAAGTGATGGGATTCGGTACTCGAGCATGAAATAAGATGGGAGGAAAACCGATTTTTCGGCACTATCTGACAAAGATGCCGGAGAGGGTGCACGCTGCACGGGACAAAAGACGGGCGGCCATCGGATTAGCATAATGGACGACGCTGTCTCGCGCTCTCGGAAGAGTTAAGGCAGGGACGCCGGCGCGGGCTCAAAAGGGAGATTCCCCGGTGGAGCCCGCGCTGCCATCGGAGAGAGTTCGATCCGGCGACGAGGCGCCACGGCTAAAACAGACAACACTGCTGTCCAAACAAAAAAGGAGCCTCGTGCACTTAAACAAAGGGATTGAGCAGGGAGCCCCGGGGCTATTATGCTCCCGTCCTATGGTAAAACATCCTATCAACATTCAAATGCTGCCAGATACCTCCTCATAAAACAATATTTCATTTTCTGTTTCCCACGGAAGATAACAATATTTTCCCCGGAAATTATGTTAAATTGTGGAGGAAACCCTTTGCAATTTGAAGGGAACATATCTACAAGTTCCCCGAAAATTTGAATTTTGTCGAAGGATTTGGAGACCTTCGAAAGCTCACGGCTACCTATAAGTGGCAGAAAATTCTGCCGTACTCCAGGAAAAACACGCATGAAAAGTTGGACCTTGTCAGATTTCTCTTGATCAAATTGATTTTGAAGGATGTTCTTGAATACTTTTCTTTGAAATTTTCACTGACGCTAGGTTACAATGCGAATAAATTGCTCTGAGGTATCCGATGGGAAAACCTCAAAGATTTTCCAGGAAGTTCATGTTTTAACGAAAGGAATGTGGCAACTTGCATATTTTCATGCGGAGATTACCCTCGGTGTGTCGATGTCAACATGAGACGACTCGATCATACTGAGTAAAAGGAACTACACTGAACAGATAAGATTCCATGCACATAGTTCCTTTTGGGCATATTTTTCCGTTCATCTTCTCGGACCAAGCTTTCGATCTCATGTTGATCCGCCTGTCTATAAGATGGCTCACATCACGATCAGTTGGTCTCTCCGGATTGTAAGGTCTGCAATCTTCTTTAAAACTACCATTGAGGGTATGACGTAGGATAGTTTGTTGATATGCTGAGTACGTTTGGATAAGGCAGTATCAGAGGAGGAGGATACGTAATTCGTATGAACCGCATCTAAAGTTATTGGCCTAAAGTAAAAAGTCTCTTTCTGTGGCCGATTTGATCCGATAGCGGCCTGCGAAGCGGGAGATTTGAATTAACAGTTCCTGATGTAAACTACTGAAGTAATTTTCTACTTATGGTAAGAGTTAGTTATGGAGGTTTTGAGTGAAATTTTACTTGTTCTGCGTGATATTTTGCTGAAGAGACGAGTCTTTAGAAAGCCTGATTCTTACCATGGTTAGTGTCCCTTCATTTGGACCGAGTTCATCACAAAGGAACCATTATTTCGAAAATGTGGGTTGGTTCCTTTCTGATAAACTCGGTCCATTTAAATTGAAACTGAGAAAAAGAGGTTTGAAGTTTTAATCCTGCGTGAAGCTCAATGCAGAAAATGAACTTCATGCCCTCTTTTCATCACCTTATTCCTTATTTTCGACTTTCGGATTTTGCCAGGAGAAAATAAACGACTAGTGGAGCTCAAAACATTCTTGACTCAATTTTTTCGAAAATGAGGGTTGGTTCCTTTCTCATTTACTCGGTTCATTTTTTGTACCGTCTGTCAATATCTCCTTCGATATTAATGGAACATTTTCCAATAAAAAATGGAGGAAACCTCGAGATGGGCTTACAGACCTAAGTAAAAAAAGCTCCCTGATTTCGGGGTTGACCGAGTATTTGGCAACGGTGCGGCGCGCGGAGGGTAGCGGCGCAAAGGAGCAAGAGTAAAGCCCTAAATTCAAACTAACGGTTGCCATGGACACGAAACCTTCCCTTTCATTTTTACATTCAACCCCAAGTTCCAAGTTCAGCTCGGCTTCGCTGCCGCGCCGCGCCGACTTCTCTCCCGCGGACTGGCTGCGCTTGACGTGGACGACCACGCAAAATACAGCCGCCGCGCCGGGAAATGACTCGGCTCCGGGAAAGACGCCTCATTTTGGCCACCGTCCGCACTGAAATTGACACATTTTTGGCACAGGAAATGTGATATCCCGCAGCAATAAAACCGTCCCAATATTCGGCACAGTTGCATATTTGGCAATATCCAACATTTTTCCACGCAGATCTGAATTACATACAAATATCATCTGAAACCTACTTAGGAAACAGTTCCTGGCTTTGGTTTTATAGATGCTATATATAGAAAGCATTGAGGTTTCTGGGACTTTAAATTGGATTGCATTTTGCAAAAAGGAACCAGGAGCATTCCAATGTTGCTAAGATTGTGCAACTTTGTTTACTTTGCAAATATAAACTGATCATCCGAACAAATTTATCTTTACTCTCAATAAACTATGAATTCATGACAAAAATTACCTTTGTAGAATTGATTCTTGGCATGATTTCGGTGATTTATTGTAAAGAACGTAAGTTGCATTATCCGAGCAACATTGGAATGCTCTCGGTTCCTTTTTGCAAAATGCAATCCGATTGGACAACGTTTTGCAATAAGAAACCACTATTTTTGGTTCATTTTGGAAACAACATATATGTCATTGATTCTCCTATGCAGAGAGGTGCCATTGCGGATAAGCTGTAGACAGTGGTTCCTTATTGCAAAATGTGATCCAATTGTAGGTATGCGGTTTCTGATCGAACACCAACATCGTTACCCTACAGTATGGATCACGACCAAATTATGCAGTACTTAGTTATTAGAATATATTTTGCGATAAGGAACCATTATTTGTGACTCATCCATAAAATCACCTATCTTCATTGGAAAACTAATAGCACGAACAATCTTTCTAAAAAAGCGAATTAAATTTCCTCATTGCGAAAGGCAGTCCACATTTAAAACTCCCTTACAGGTTACTCTAAGATGCTCATCATTTTTACACAGCTGAATGCACCTGTTGTCGAATAATTCCCGAGGGAAAAAACAAATTTTGAGAAGAAATTTGGCAACGTACAAATGCAGTTACGTGCTTTCGTACGGAGAACGATGAAACAGACTCCGTGCAGGCTGCAGGGGCTTAGCTTCAGAATTCGTGTCTGTTTAAGGCTTTAATGTCGGAGCGGTTATCAAGCGCGTGACCTTGAATCGAATTATAACGCCCAGCCCATGAGGAAGTTCAAAAACCCGACGTTAAGAATCAGCGAGTCGTTTAAACTCCCGAATACCTACTCTTTTTAAGTTTTCACGTCTTTCCTCGTTTTTTGTCGCTTTTAAGTGTTCGACACTCTGTGTTGAACTATAATGTTTCCTCTGACTTCTGACATTTACACGTGCCGAATTGAACTGAAATCTCATTATTAGTATCATACAATCTTATTCGTAATCACTTCGAAGAATTCGCAGTTAAGTTGTATTATTCAACATCATCTTTGATGAATATGCAGAACAAACCACTAATTTATTGTATTATGTGATCAGTGTTCGAAACTTACCTTTGAGATTTAGGAGCCATGTGGCGCATCAAACCCGATTTTTAGGCGCCATTGAAGATTTTTTAGGGGCAAAATTGACTATTTGCCTATATGTTACGGCGCATTTGGTGACAAGTTAGACGCAAGATGTTTTTGTAACAGAACTAGTAAGTAGCTTTAATTTGGGGAAAACAAAAGCACTAAGAATGAAATCGTGAAGAATAGAAATAGCTTTCCTTTCTAGTGCTGAAAATTCTGAGTTTTGTTTAATTCGAATAGATTTGTTTTCCTCTCTTTATGTGACTTCCTAAGAAAATCCAGATTTTTAGGGGGCAATTTTTAGGGGCCACGTTGGCGCAGAGCCTTCAATTTTCAGGCGCATTTGGCGCGTTGGCGCCTGTGAGTTTCGTGCACTGCATGTGATTGATATTGGGGAAAATACTACAATTTTCTTCGATGAAAACTGTGCGAATGCACATAAAACCGGCAAATGCTGTTACGCAGGTGAAACTGGTATTGCCTTGTCTGAAGTCGCGCGAATTGGAGTGGACTCATTATTATATTCAGCTCCCTTCATCTTCTATTCCTAACCTCACTCTAATCCAAGGCTCCATTATCCCGAA